TGTTTTGGTTGACCAGGCTCCGCTGAATGCTTCTTCGAAAATCTTTTGGAATGATGCTGCTGCACTGTTGCTGTCCATGCCAGCGCACAATGTGCCTTTCAAGAAATCCACATCCTCGCTCTGGAATAAATTACTGTTGAAACATCAAAGTTGTTGCAGTGTTTTTATGCGTTCTTTGCATCTATGCAATTCGGAAACGCATACTGCCGAGGCGTTGTCTGTGTGTTTGTTCGTCCATACCGACTTTTCACCTCGGGACCTACAAAAGCTACAAGGCTGAAACTTTCGGGGTTTAATCTACATGCATGTACGGGCCCTTGTCCTCAAAATGGACGCTTCTGCCCACGTGGTTCCCAGATACGGGCCGGTGAAAGATTTTTGCAGATAAATCGCCAACTCGTGAACCGGAAAAGCTAGGGAGCTGAAATTCTAAAGGGATGTTTCCTCACAGTTGTGGTAGCCAGTCTCAATTCTTTTAACTAGAAGCATCTGCCGAAAAAAACCGTGACATTAGCGAAAAAAACTTGCTGGGAACTGTGCAAAAAAACACATCTTCGCATCGGCCAATTTTTCCTCTTGAGGCAGACTCATGTGCAGCGGAGATGTAACAAATCACGCACTTCATACTGGGCAACAGAGACAGAATGTGGTGCAATAGGAGCTACGGTCACCAGCACGTTGACCACCAAGTAATGCAGTACTACAGTGATCGATAAGGTTGAAAATAATGACGCAATAAAAAGTAAGAACGACAGCTGATTATGGCACACAGTGATGAAAGAAGATCAGCAAACCGTTTGTAGTTCAGGAAGCCCCATACACAGTAGCATCGAAAACAACGAAACAAACAGTTTGGCGCGCTCATGCAATATCAAATATGCGTCTGTGCATAATTGCTTGAATCTGAAGTAGCAGTTAAAAGATTAAGAGAAGCCGATTTCTCATTTGAAAGTACGATACACCGAAATCGTCGTTAAGGAAGAGCAGGTAGATTACGACATTAGATGATGAAAATTTCAAACTATTCATTGCCATTCTAAAGCCATATGCTACCAGAATGTTAGTGAATAAAACAACTGCTAAGGCAACCTCTAGAAAAACTGTATTATGCATGTGTGTATGCATGTACGTATGTATGCATATAAAAAGTGTGTTTGAAGTGTAAACATTCATGACTGTATGTAAAAAATATATGTTCTTTTCCTCACTTCGTTTCAGTCACCTAATCGGTAACGCACCTGCATTCGCAGATGTCTGCCCTTTTATTATTTTCGCCTTTCAAACCTGTTAATCTCTTTAAAAACCTTTCATTCCATTTTCTCATTTTCTATTTCGTTTTACCCTATTCATCATTTCTCACACTTTGTTACATTCCAAATCTCTCCCAAAAATTATCATATCTTCTTTTAGAGCGGTTCTTAATTCCATCCATTCCTTCTATCGGGGTCTGGGATTTTCTCCATCGGATTTTTGACAGTCGATATCATCATCACTCGACTCGACCCTCGAGGGCCAATATCTATTCACCTGCTGTTCGCTTGTTCAGTGCCTAACACCTCTTGTCCGACAAGCTCCCTGATTCATCAGATCCCGAGCGTTGCGCTTCGCGCTATTTATCTGCTCACAAAGTCACTGTATGCTTAATCACTAGTAAACTATAAACATACTTTTGTTTTTTTTAATATTTCATACACAGTCAAGGTACCACGCCACAATACAATCCACCACACTTAACAAGTTCCCCCAAATCACAAAAAATTTTACTGGAGGATGCCGAAGGGACCATAAAAATTGAAGATCACAAAGTATAAAAGAACTGCGCTTGTCGTGTGGACACTTTCCAGTACCACTGGAAGGGCAGTTTCGGTGGACAATCTTGTTGACTTGTCCATTTACTTTCTAGTCAAAATACAGTGACTTTGTGAGAGCTGCAGTAATTTCTTACTTCTTGTACTCGTGACTTTCCTGGTAATTGGCTTTTCCTTTGGCGATGACGCACAGGAAATGATCAGTGAGGACGAAGGGCACGCGATCACGGTTGATGCCTAGCTTCTTTTTATAGTGTCCCAGGAAATGTCCAAAATCAATGTGAAATAGCTGCAAAACGAGTTAATCATGTAAAAAATGTTCAAAAAATGGTCGCTTTTCTCTCCCGTTTATCCCCTTCTCCTATTTATGCTAGAGATTCCGAAGTGGTTAGCCCAGAAGCAAAAATAAAAAAACAAATCAAGTGGCGTAAAATCTAGCCAGAGAGAAGCAACAAACTTATTTAAGGCAGGCGTAGAATTTAGCCAGTGCAGCGAAAAATCTGTCCGGGAAAGCGTGGAATTTAGCAGAAGAGGAATCCGGCTAAGGTATTGCAGGGCGTTAAAATGGTAATTTCGAAAGGATGAAAAGTGAAGGGTAAACAGTGTTTGCCGAAGGATTCAGAAACACCATCACATGCAGAAACACACAAAGTGCAAAAAGTGAGAAGGACGTCGTTCTGCCGGGAACGTTATTTTAGATGGGCGGCACTCAGAATGAAGTGACCTTCAACTGTCTGAAAAATCCAGTAATTTCACTGCAGCAACAAGTTCTTGTAGAATTCCTTGCAAAAAGCAATGAATAAAGAACATACCCTTCCATCTTTGGCAAGCATAATATTATCCTGATGTCTGTCTTTAATTCCCAGTACATAAGTCGCGACACAGTAACCTGCACAGGAAGCAGTGAAACGATCTACTCCTTCCAAGTATCTGAAACACACATCTCAATCGTGTAATCATTTGAACAACGTTTACACACGTAGTATTGATACGTACACTGTAGGAAGACATGGCGATCATAAAGACCGGATACAATTACGAACTAGTAAGACATCGATGAGGATTTTAACAGAGTGCGCCGCAACTGGCTGAGTGAGAAATGCCCATTATGCGAGGATCAGCCGGTCCTGAGAAATATGGTGAAAACTGTAGACAAGTCGGAAACCTGCCAAACTCAGGAAGTAAATGAAGGCGGAAAAGGTTTTAAAAATTGAACGAGAGATCGATTCCAGTGGTGTCGAGAAATAGGCTCCCACACCTAACTCGGGACAATATGGGTCTGATCTATGGAATTACAGTTGTACAAGAACAGAAAGACGTATTAAGCATACAGTTTTGTGTCCCCGGAGCAGTTCCGAATGTACTTGTTGATCACTCCGCAATCCATGCTGAATGTTGAGCCAAGCTGTTTCGCTGCACATTGAATTTCGAAAAGTGTATTGCAGTTCTGCACAACATGAATCATGCCAACCTGAATGTACTGTGCACTGATAAAAGGTCGTTCAGTAAGTAATTTTCCACATAACAAACGTGAAATTATCATCGAACGAGTCCATCACATTGATGTATCGAATTATTTTTCAACATAAGGCAATTCGTTTAAAGTAGCTATTTGCATTTTTGCAGACAAATGTTAGATTCAGAGCACTGCTGGTGCCGCAAAAAAAAAGGGTGCAAAGGCAACAGCAAGCAACAGAAAAACCGAAAGGAATTTTGACTTTTTGAATTTACGCCCAAATCGAAGTAAGCTTCGGTAAAAATCCGATAACAAGTAGACTTCAGAAAGCAATTCTCCATCAGTGACCAAATTTAACGCAGTTGGAATGAAGTAACTGATAATCAGTGCTGCTGCGACTTTTGCAATATGCACGCTTCGTCTGTGTCATAAAGCATGAAGTTCTTACATTTCTTCCCATCGGAAGCACTTCATATATGCTCAAGCATAAATCATAATCTCGACTTTTCCAAAGTGCGTCCATTATACGCATTACTTGTAGAGTGAGCATATCTTGTCGCAAATCTGTAAATTAACATCACCAGAAATCGCAGGGTCGACTTGTTTTGAGTTAGCAAAATCATCGGACTTCCGAAAAAAGCACGCGGAACCTCAGTAACTGGCTGACAAGATGCCCTCGAAGATGTTTATAAAAAAAAACGTTAAGTTAAAAATCCTCGCGTTTCTTAACAGTGGCGTATTGCCTGAAGTGCTCACAAAAAGACTGCACAAGAAGCGCATACCGTCGCCATTCTTGAAAATAATTTCATGCGTTTCACTGTGCAATCGAGCGAGAGGCTCCGGATTTGTCCAAGTGAGTCGTAGTGGCTGCTTTGCGCTCCCTATCACTTTACACATTTCAGTCCTAAAAACAGAAAAGACTTTAGAATGCTACAGTGTGAAATAGCTCGCAACAAATGGTATACCGAGAGATTTCATCAACTCACTTTAGTGCACCGAGACTATCAGAAGGGTCAAGCGGCGAGATCATATTCTGCATTATTTCCACATAGGATGTCAGTTCTTTTTGTAAATGCTGCAAATACATTCAGAAATTTCTCACACTATTTGAGTCGAAAAAAGAGCTGCAAAATTGCACAGATTGGTCTTTTTGATAGCTGTTGAACGGGTCATATCGCTGAGCGATTTAGTAAAATGACTGGCCAGAGAGTTTCGGAAAAGCCACGAAGGGAGTTGGCCGAGCAGACGTCAAACTGAAGCCACGCAGCTTTAATTACGGGGGCTTAGCACCAGCTATCTTGGCATGTGGCTGCATTTCAGTGCCACCGTACACAGTGACAGATGATCACGACGGGGTAGTTATGATTTTAGTAGCAATACCGAAAATACCAAAATACTTTAGTGGCGCATTCTTTGTCCTTCATTGATTTGATGATTTTACTCAGATTTGTCAATCTTGCAACCATATCTACTTGCCGCAACATCGAGTGCAAATGGCTGTAATTGCCTCGACAATAAGCTTCAATTAACAACGCAAAACGTTTATAAGTTTTTGTTAATTCTTGGCCAATTTCACCTGAAAATAAATGTTATTCGAAGTTCCATCAAGCTGGAAAAGCAGGCCTCGTCGAATTCTCTATATGCGATGCAATAAGTTACACTGATTGTGATGAAAATGGCGGTTAACTCACTTAGTTGTCCT